TTTTTTTTTTTTTTTTGGACAATTTTACCATACCATATTGAAAAGCCTTTTCTTTTTTATTTGTCAAACACTAAAGTTTTTATAATTGAAGGACTACATCTAGGAAGATAATTTAGCATACATACTGGAACTATCTATTAAAAGGTGCCATTTCTTGACAATCTGAATCTGCTTTCACCTTTTTTATACATCATTGATGTTCTTTTTTTGTTCATGGGCAAGTTCAAATTAAAAGTAACTTGAATTACCTTTTGCAAAATCATACCAACCATTTTTATGTTACAGGCTCAACTAGGTATTGATGTTTCTGGTGTTTTGGCAGTTATGACTTTGGGAATGTAAGTTAACTAGTGTGTAAAGATTTCTTTGCTACCTTGACAAAACATTTCTCATGATTAATGAGACTCTTACCTTGGACAGGTTTTATGCTGCATATGCAAAAACAGCATTTAAGGGTGGAAGTCAACAGAGCTTGCATCACTTCTGGTATGCGTCGTGCCTTTCTCATTTAGTGTTTTCTGTCTAACAAATAAATTAAATGGTTCTAAAAGTGAAAGTGCCCCTGTAGCTTTGTACTGCATTGAGTCTTTCATAAAGAATCTAAAAAAGACTAAGACTATATTTTAGGAAAAGGTTACTAGACAAGACACACTAAAGACTTTTTAGTGCCTAAGGACATGGTTTCTTAAATTATGTACCATATAATTTTTAATGGAGCTTTTCGAGAAGTCATCTTAATTCTGTTACCGCTTTACCTTTGTCTTCAGGGAAATGGTTGCTTACATTGCAAATACATTAATTTTCATTTTAAGGTAATGGCTTAATTTTAGGCTTTTAGATCCTTCATACTGTTGATATACTTGAAATAAAAAATAGCTTGGTCTCAATGAAATTTTTTATTCTGAATTGGTTAGTTGAATTCCTTCATGTTTTTATTCAGTAATTGCTGCTGATATTGCCTTATCTTTACTTTTAGTTTTAGTTTTGCCCCGATTCTCACTCTGGATTGCAAATTGATGCAAGATCTTCGTTCACAGAACCTAAAGCTCAAATCTCAATATGAGTTTTCATCTGCAGTTCTCGTAGCTTTTAAGCTTAGGAAGGCTACATCAGGTTGAAGTAGGTGAAAATATGAGACTGGTGAATGATATTGGTAGTGGGATCTAGCATTACCACCTTGTAGAGTTATGTGATTACACTTACAGAGATGCATTATAAAATATGTGGGAATAATAGCTTTTTTTTTTGCTATTATGTGTTGACAACTGGGAGGTTCGGACAACTTTGACATCAGGAAATAGAAATAATATGCAATTAATTTGGTCCAAGTAGACTTGAGAAGTAGGAATTTAGTTAGCTTTTGACTAGGATACAAACACCAAATACCTAATTACATTAGCAACATTTGATCGAGCCTTGGGTCAGCTATCTGAACTACTGATCATTGAAGTTTCGGATCAAATTGGAATGCATGTAATGTGTCTCCCCCTTGTAACAAAGAAAATTTTCTTAAATGGGCAGAAGGTTTTTTGCTACATGCTCACTTAATCTTAATATATTGCTGTCCACTATCTGACACGTGGACTCTCAAATCAACATTATTTTTTTTATGGAATTTCAAATTTTGCTGGAGAATCTTGTTGATGATTGGTTGAGAAAATTAATGGCTATGTTGCACTAGAACTCAGCAACAAATAAGTCTTTGGCAAGCTGAATGTTAAACTGGTTGAGAAAAGAGATTTTCTATGTAAACTAGGACTAGTGGATGGATACTCTTAAATCTAAGGTTTAAATTTCATTCTCTTTAACTTAGAGTTGATTTCTCATGGCATTGCTGATATTCCTTTATTTAAGATCAATCATAACAATAATGATCTTAGTAGCTGACAAGATTGTTTAAAAAACACTATTAAATTTATATGAAAGTGAAAGGGCAGGAATTCAATTGTCTTAGTGAATTTTGCTTATCATTTTTTTTTTCTCTTCCATATTGAATCTTATAGTTGCTAATTTTTTCTTCTTTTATTTTATTTTTTATTTTTATTGGTTTTTGCAGTGGTGTTATTATAGCTAAAGGTTTTCTTCTGGATGGCAAGGCTTTTGTGAATCATGGTACTTCCTGCTTTTATTTTATTTATCTTTGATAGATAATGTTGACTTCCTGAGAAATTAGTTTAGTTTAGCTTGGTTAGCCAAGACATAGGATGACTTCACCCTCCTTCCCTGATGTAGTATATACATTTGAGAAAGCTATTTACAAGTTCTTTTGATGGGTTTAGGATTTTTATAAAATGAAGGATTTAGAATTTTTGTAGCAGAGGTGAATAAGAGTTTAAATTGTTCAGGGCTCAAACAATTTCTTGGGGGCAGAGGCATTTTGGCCTTTGGAAGCAGGAATATATGCTGCTGTGTGTCAATGTGTGAACAGGAGGAGAAGAAGAAAGAAGAATTTGGCCATTTAAGGAGATAAGATGAGAGTGAAGAAGAATGAATACAGAACAAAGGTTTAGCCTATGGGAATGCCAGGCATGGATAAACCAAATTCTCAAGATTGCATTAATCAAAAGCCTCTTCTATCATAGAGAGTACATATCTATTTATAGATAGCTTGGACTATTCCTTAGGTTAGGCCACTAGAATCCAGACGTTAACTATTATTAAATAAAGAATGAAGTTCAGAATTGGTGATTGTACTTAGCCAATTAGATCTTAAAGAAAAAGAAAATAAAAAAATAATAAATAAATTAATTAATTAATTAGAAATCAATATGATCCTTCATCTCATCTGAAAATATTATTCTCTCTCTAATCTAATGTATATTTTATCTTTTTCTGATAAAAAAAAATTTTCTGTTATTCATTTAAATGTGAAAGAAGATTTTCTGTTAACATAAATAGAAAACACTTAGAAGTTCTAACCTGGATCACTTTTGGCAAATGATGAATTCTATAACCAAAATAGAATTATTAAGATTGGTGGGACCATGGGAGTGACCAACTTAAGCATTCTTTGAATCTCAGTCATAAAAATCTTAATCTAGGTATTCTTCCTCGGCAAAAATGGCAAAAAAAAGCCCCTGTACTTTTTTATTTGTGCAAAAAAGCCCTTGAACTTGTTGGGTTGAGGCATTTTAGCCCTTCCTAACAGTTTCTGTTAGTTTTAACTGTTTAGCCCCTGAATTCAAGGGAATTTTCCATTAAAATTGACAGGAACTGTAGAAAAGAGGCTGTACGTTTAAAGTGGGTTTTTTATCTTTAAAGTGGGTTTTTTATCGGTTTTGAAAAGGACTTTTTTTCCCTTTTGCCTTTTTTTTTTTTTTAAATTTCTTTTATATAGAAAATTCTTTTTGTCACTTTCATCCATTTTCTTGGCAACCAAACTATAACACACTAAAGCTTTACCAAGGTTAAAATTTTCTACACCACACCAGTTTTATGCCTCCTATTTATTCTGTATCCTGATTCCTGACACAATATGAGTGTGAAATTCTGGGTAGGGGGTTCAAAAGAATTAGAACCAAATCTGAACTTTAAAATGAGATCTGACTCGAAAATAGTCAGAAGTCAAAACTATCCTCCAATCAAATAAAGGAATATAAAGATGGGAAAATTATGGGTACATCATCTTTTTGTTCCTTTTTTTTATTTTATTTTTTTAATTTTTATATTTTCACCATTGAGGTTAAGAAAGTTCTAAAATGCCTTCAGTTCCCTGGTCTTCAGTTTCTGCTAAAAAATGTTGCACTCTAGTTAAGTTTATAATATTTATTGCTACCAAACCATGAAAAGTTGAATACTTATTGTAGTTCTTACCTTTTATCTTCTACATGTCTTTGCTTCAGGTTATTCGTGGGGTTATCTTATTCTTCTCTATGTCTTTGTGCAAGTATCCCGTTGCATTGTTGTTGGGGTATTATTTCCATTTTTACAATATTTTGGATATGGTTTGGATTTGAAGGAAGCTGCTATTTTAATATGGTCAGGCTTGCGAGGTGCTGTTGCATTAGCACTTTCACTATCATTTAAGGCAAGTTACATGAATTAGGTCAGATATATATATATTATTCAAACATGTTAGTTCTATATAATTTGCTCCAATAGCAAGTTTCCCAAATATTTGCACACTTTTTTTAATAGTTAATTTTTTTGGCACTTTTTTTTTTCACATAATCTGGTGTCAAAAAGTTTCTTGTACTCAGGTAGCTTCTGATTATTAAAACCTAACTGGTCAGAATGATTACCGTATCTTTTTCTTTTCCTCTTTTATGAGAGTAAACCTTGTTATAGAAAGCTATTACCTACCTTTACCATTGTGCCCATTGCAACAATTTCTCTATATCATCATGTGTCTAACTTCTACTTATCTCATTTGTGATTGGCTTAGAATTCCAGCATGAGCTTAACAACTATCAGTTCAGAAACAGGAAGCCTAGTGAGTTTCTCTGACATGCGTCTTGATTATGTTTTCGCTTTGGAAGGTTTAAACCTTACACTATTTAGATGCTAATTGGGGAATTTATAACTGGAAAAGAATACCTATGTTAATTGACAACTTGAATTGATAGCATTTTCTAATAATTTCTTGCAGTTTGTTTTCTTCACTGGTGGAATTGTATTCTTGACGCTCATTATTAATGGATCAACTACACAATTTATTTTACATTTTCTGGGTATGGATAAGCTTTCAGTAACCAAGGTGATTGTTCTGCTACTTCACAAAATACTTTGTTTCTGTAATTTTTCCTTGAACACAACTTGCTTTGTAAAATCTCTTTTCTTATTTTATAGTTATATTTGTTTCCACTTATGACAGAGACGTATACTGGACTATACAAAGTATGAAATGTTGGATAAAGCATTAGAGGCTTTTGAAAATCTTGTAGATGATGAGGAACTTGGACCTGCTGACTGGCCTACTGTAAAGAAATATATTGCAAGCTTAAATAATCTTGAGGGTGACCCTGTGCATCCTCATAG